ACATCTCCGGTGAGAATCCCCATTTTTTCCCCATTTTTCCCCCTCTTTTTATCCCCTTTTCCCCCCATTTTCCCCCATTTTTTCTCCCCGTTTATTTTTCTTTTTCCTTCCCATTTCCTTTCTCTTTTTTCCCCATTTTTTTGTTACTTTTCCCCCATTTTTCCCCAAAAAACCCAGAACCTGGGAAGGGCTGGGATGAGCCCTGGGATCCTTCCCAGCCCAGGATTTGTGGGAATAAAATTTGGGAATTGGGATTGGGAGGAGAGAAATCCAGGACTGGAAATTGGATTAAAATGGGAAAACAGAGCAGAAGTCTGGGAATAAACGGGGGAAAATTCCGGGAAAAAAGCAGGAATTCTGTGCTGCTGCCCCCTGGGGTGGAGCTGGGCCTGTCCCAGTTGGGAATTCCGGGAATTTTTCCTGGATTTTCCCCCGGGATTGCAGGTCTGGAATTACAAACTGCGGCGCTGCCTCTTCACCCTGCTGGGACACCTGGACTACATCCGCACCACCTTCTTCCACCACGTGAGGGCAGCCGGGAATGCCGGGAATTCTGGGAATTCTGGGGTTATCCTGGGAATTCCGGGGGGCTCTGGCAATCCAGGGTTGTCCTGGGAATCCAGGATTTCTGGCACTCCCCAGTGGGAGTCTGCTCTCCCGGGAATTCTGGGGTTATCCTGGGAATTTTGGGGGGTTTCATGGGAATTCTGGGGTTCTGGGAATCCAAGGTTGTCCTGGGAATTCTGGGGGTTATCCCGGGAATTCTGGGGTTCTGGGAATCCAGGGTTATCCTGGGAATTCCGGGGTTATCCTGGGAATTCTGGGGTTCTGGGAATCCAGGGTTATCCCGGGAATTTGGGGGTTTTCCTGGGAATTCTGGGGGTTATCCCAGGAATTCTGGGGTTCTGTCGTGGGAATTCCGGGGTTATCCTGGGAATTCTGGGGTTCTGGGAATCCAGGGTTATCCCGGGAATTTGGGGGTTTTCCTGGGAATTCTGGGGGTTATCCCAGGAATTCTGGGGTTCTGGGAATCCAGGGTTATCCCAGGAATTCTGGGGTTCTGGGAATCCAAGGTTGTCCTGGGAATCCAGGGTTATCCTGAGAGCTCTGGAGTTCTGGGAGCTTCTGGTGGGAATCTCCTCATGGAATTTTTTGTCACGGAATCCTCATTTTCCTGGGAATCTCCTCCAGTGGGAATCCCTTTCCTGGGAATCCTGCTTTCCTGGGAATTCCTTCCTGGCCATCTCCAAGGGGGGGATTTTTCAACGGGAATCTGCAGTGGGAATCCATTCCCGGCACTCCATCCCTCCGGGATCCCTTCCCAGAGGATTTTCCCCTGGGAGATCAGGAATTCCCGGCGCTGGGATCTCTCCAGGCCCCAATCCCAGGTTTTTTTTTTTTCCCCAGGAGTATCCCTGGATCCTGAGCGCTTCCGATGACCAAACCATCCGCGTGTGGAACTGGCAGAGCCGCACCTGCGTCTGGTGAGGGCCCGGCATTCCCGGGATTCCGGGGAAATCTGGGATCCTGGCATTCCCGGGATTCCGGGGAAATCTGGGATCCTGGCATTCCCGGGATTCCGGGATTCCTAGAATACTGGGATTCCTTGGGATTCTGGGATCAATTCTTCCCTGGGATTTCTGGGATCCTGGGATTCCTGGGATTCTGGGATCAATCCTTCCCTGGCATCCTGGGATTCTGGGACTCCTGGGATTCCATGGAAATCTGGGATCAATCATTCCCTGGGATTCTGGGATTCCCTGGAATTCTGGGATACACCCTTCCCTGAGATTCTTGGGATTTTGGGATTCTGGGATAGACCCTTCCTTGGGATTCTGGGATAAACCCTTTCCTGGGATTCCCTGGAATTCTGGGATCAGTCCTCCCCTGAGATTCTGGGATTAATCCTCCCCTAGGATTTTGGGATCAAATGTTCTCTGCAATTCCCTGGGATTCCCTGGGATTCCAAGATAAATCCTCCCTGGGATTCTGGGATCAGTCCTCCCCTGAGATTCCTTGGGATTTTGGGATAAATCCTCCCTGGGATTCTGGGATAAATCCATCCCTGGGAGGGCAGAGAATTCCCAGACCCAGAGAATTCCGTGGATTCCCCATCCCTGGGATGGTGGGAATGTCCCTCCCTTGGAATCGGGGTGGGATTTCTTTGGGATTTCAGGATTCCTGGATTCCCTGGGCTGCTTTATTGGGATTTCAGGGACAAACCCTGCACCCAACCAAGGAATTCCTTGGATTCCCCATCCCTGGGAGCGCCCCAGCCCAGGGGATCCCACAATTCCCAACCCCCCGGGAGCGGGCGGGGGTCCGGGCCGTTCTCACGGAATTGTGTCGGGATTTCGGGATCAGCGTCCTGACGGGGCACAACCACTACGTGATGTGCGCCCAGTTCCACCCCAGCGAGGACCTGGTGGTGTCGGCCAGCCTGGACCAGACCGTGCGCGTCTGGGACATCTCCGGTGAGACTCCGGGGAAAAACCGGGAAAATCCATGGGAAAAATGGGAATGGGAGTGGGATGGGCCAGGCCGTGCGCGTCTGGGACATCTCCGGTGAGACTCCGGGAAAATCCATGGGAAAAATGGGAATGGGACTGGGAAAAATGGGAATGGGAGTGGGATGGGCCAGGCTGTCAGGGTGTGGGACATCTCCGGTGAGACTCCAGGGAAAAACCAGGAAAAACTGGGAAAATCCGTGGGAAAACAGGAATGGGAACGGGTGTGGGACATCTCCGGTGAGATTCCAGGGAAAAAATGGGAATGGGAGTGGGAAAAACTGGGAATGGGAGTAAGGTGGACCAGACTGAGGGTGTGGGACATTTCTGGTGAGATTCCAGGGAAAAATCCATGGGAAAACAGGGAATGGGAATGGGTGTGGGATACCTCCTGATGAGGGATCCCAAAAAGTTCTGGGACAGTCGGGAATGAGGGGCAGGAAAAGGGAACGGAGGATCCTGAGGGATCTGGGGGGTGATCCCGGAGAAAAGGGGGATCCGGGGGGTTGGGATCTGCCAGGGGGGATTTGGGATCAGATTTGGGATCTGATCCCAGGGACTGGGGCAGGACCAGAGGGAGCGGCCTCGAGCTGTGCCAGGGTGGGAAATCTGGGATGATTTTTCCATGGAAAAAGAGTTGGGAAGCACCAGCAGGGGCTCAGGGAGGGTTGGATCCCATCCCTGGAGAACCTCTGGAGATCCCCCCGGTGTGGGAAAAACCTGAGGAAAGAAGCCCTTGGAATTGCTGGATCCGGGAGCTGATTCCCGTGGTTTTTCTCGTGGTTTTTCCCGGGTTTTTCCTGAGTTTTTCCCGGTTTTTCCCTGCTCTCCAGGGCTCAGGAAGAAGAACCTGTCCCCCGGGGCCGTGGAGTCGGACGTGCGCGGCATCACCGGCGTGGATCTGTTCGGCACCACCGACGCCGTGGTCAAACACGTGCTGGAGGTGCCTGCTTCCCAAAATCCCTGGGGAATCCCTGGGGAATCCAGGAAAATCCCTGGGGAATCCAGGAAAATCCCTGGGGAATCCATAAAAATCCCTGGGGAATCCATAAAAATCCCTGGGGAATCCCTGGGAAATCCAGGAAAATCCCTGGGGAATCCATAAAAATCTCTGGGAAATCCATAAAAATCCCTGGGGAATCCCTGGGAAATCCAGGAAAATCCCTGGGGAATCCATAAAAATCTCTGGGGAATCCAGGAAAATCCCTGGAAAATCCATAAAAATCCCTGGGGAATCCCTGGGAAATCCAGGAAAATCCCTGGGGAATCCATAAAAATCTCTGGGGAATCCAGGAAAATCCCTGGAAAATCCATAAAAATCCCTGGGGAATCCCTGGGAAATCCAGGAAAATCCCTGGGGAATCCATAAAAATCTCTGGGGAATCCAGGAAAATCCCTGGAAAATCCATAAAAATCCCTGGGGAATCCCTGGGAAATCCAGGAAAATCCCTGGGGAATCCCTGAAAATCCCTGGGGAATCCACTGAATCCTTCCTGGTTCAATCCCTGTCCTGGGGATGGATTCCAGAGATGTTTTCCTGCTTTTCTCCCCGTTTTTGTGGTTGATTCCCAAATCTCTGCCATTTTCCATGGATTTCCCCCATTCCTGGGGTTTTTCCCCCACCTCCCCCCGTGGTTTTCCCTGGATTTTCTTCATTCTTCCTGGATTTTTCCCCCACTCCTGGCCATTTTTCCCTGGATTCCCCCCCATTCCCTGCCCTTTTTCCCTGGATTCCCCCATTCCTGGCTGGTTTTCCCTGGATTCCCCCATTCCTGGCTGGTTTTCCCTGGATTCCCCCATTCCTGGCTGGTTTTCCCTGGATTCCCCCCCATTCCCAGCCCTTTTTTTCCTGGATTCCCCCCATTTTGTGCCATTTTCCCCCCATTCCCGGCCCTTTTCCCCCTGGATTTCCCCCATTCCCTGCCCTTTTTCCCTGCATTTCCCCCACTCCCTGCCGTTTTCCCCCCGTTCCCGGCCCTTTTTCCCGGGATTTCCCCTCATTCCCACTTTTCCAGGGCCATGACCGGGGGGTGAACTGGGCTGCCTTCCACCCCTCCATGCCCCTGATCGTGTCCGGGGCCGACGACCGCCAGGTGAAGATCTGGAGGATGAACGGTGAGCAAAAAACGGGAAAAAAAGGCAAAAAACCAGGAAGAAGGCTCAGGATTCTGGCTGGGATGGGGAAAAGTGGGAATCACCCCCGTTCCCGGCGTTTTCCTGCTTTTTCTCCCCAGTCTTGGGGAGTTTTCCCCCCCGTTCCTTCCGTTTTCCAGGGGTTTTATCCCCATTCCTCCCATTTCCCTGGTTTTTCTCCCCCATTCCTCCCTTTTCCCTGGGGTCTTTCCCCACTCCTCCCACTCCCCTGCTGCTTTTCCCCATTCCATACATTTTTTTCCCCATTTTCCCTGGATTTCCCCCCAAATCCCAGATTCCAAGCCACGGGAGGTGACCACGAGCAGGGCCGGTTTCTCCCTTTCTCTGCTGTTTTTTCCCATTTCCCCGTAGTTTCTCCCCATTCCATGAATATTTTCCCCATTTTCCCTGGATTTCCCCCCAACTCCCAGATTCCAAGCCACGGGAGGTGACCACGAGCAGGGCCGGTTTCTCCCTTTCTCTGCTGTTTTTTCCCATTTCCCCGTAGTTTCTCCCCATTCCATGAATATTTTCCCCATTTTCCCTGGATTTCCCCCCAACTCCCAGATTCCAAGCCACGGGAGGTGACCACGAGCAGGGCCGGTTTCTCCCTTTCTCTGCTGTTTTTTCCCATTTCCCCGTAGTTTCTCCCCATTCCATGAATATTTTCCCCATTTTCCCTGGATTTCTCCCCAAATCCCAGATTCCAAGCCACGGGAGGTGACCACGAGCAGGGCCGGTTTCTCCCTTTCTCTGCTGTTTTTTTCCCATTTCCCTGTAGTTTCTCCCCATTCCCCTGGGATCTCTCCCCATTCCCCTGAGATCTCTCCCCATTCCCTGCTTTTTCTCCCCATTCCATGAATATTTTCCCCGTTTATTCCCTGGATTTCCCCCCAAATCCCAGAGTCCAAGGCCTGGGAGGTGGACACGTGCCGGGGCCACTACAACAACGTTTCCTGCGCCGTTTTCCACCCGCGCCAGGAGCTGATCCTCAGCAACTCCGAGGACAAGAGCATCCGGGTGTGGGACATGTCCAAGCGGTCAGTGCCCCCCGGGGCAGGGGAGCGACCCTCGGCAAGCTCAGGAATTCCCGGGATTGCCAAAATTCCCGGATTTTTTCCCCCCCAGGACCGGCGTCCAAACGTTCCGGCGCGACCACGACCGGTTCTGGGTGCTGGCGGCGCATCCCAACCTCAACCTCTTCGCTGCTGGTGAGTCCGGGAATTCCGGCCGGGAATGCCCAAATTCCAGCTGGGAATGCCCAAATTCCAGCTGGGAATGCCCAAATTCCAGCTGGGAATCCTCAAGTTCTGGCTGGGAATCCTCAAATTCCAGCCGGGAATCCTCAAATTCCAGCTGGGAATGCCCAAATTCCAGCTGGGAATCCTCAAGTTCTGGCCGGGAATCCTCAAATTCCGGCTGGGAATGCCCAAATTCCAGCTGGGAATCCTCAAGTTCTGGCTGGGAATCCCCAAATTCCGGCTGGAAATCCTCAAATTCCGGCTGGGATACCCTGAAATACTCTCAGGAACTCCAGGTTTCTCCAGGAACCCCGAATTCCGGGTGTAATTCCCAGTGTTTTTTCTGGAGTTCTGGGTGTTTTTCACCCCAGGGCACAACAGGGGCATGCTGGTGTTCAGTTCCCTTTTCTCTTCCCCCATTCCCATCCCAAATTCCTGGTGGTTTTCCCCAGAATTCCTGCTGTTATTCATGGTGTTTTTCCCCACAATTCCTGGTGTAATTCCAGTTGTAATTCCTGATGTTTCACCCCAGGGCACAACTGGGCCGTGCTGGTGTTCAGTTCCCTTTTCTCTCCCCCATTCCCATGCCAAATTCCTGGTGTTTTTCCCCAGAGCTCCTGCTGTAATTCCAGGTGTTTTTCCTGGCATTCTGGCTGTTATTCCTGGTGTAATTTTGGCTGTTATTCCGGGTGTTTTTCCCTGGAATTCTGGCTGTAATTCCTGGTGTAATTCCAGGTGTTTTTCCCTGGAATTCCCACTGTTGTTCTGGTTATTTTTCCCTGGAATTCCGGCTGTTATTCTGGGTGTTTTTCCCTAGAATTCCAGCTGTTATTCTGGGTGTTTTTCCCTGGAATTCCGGATTTAATTCCAGCTGTTTTTCCTTGGAATTCCAGCTGTTATTCTGGGTGTTTTTTCCCAGGAATTCTGGCTGTAATTCTGGTTGTAATTCCCGCTGTAATTCCGGCTGTTTTTCCCTGGAATTCCCGTTGGAATTCCCAGTATAATTCCCGGTGTAATTCCGGCTTTTTTTCCCGACATTCCGGGTGTTTTTCCCTGGGATTCCCGCTGTAATTCTGGCTGTTTCTCCCAACATTCCGTCTGTAATTCCGGCTGTTTCTCCCGACATGCCGGGTGTTTTTCCCTGGGATTCCCGCTGTAATTCTGGCTGTTTCTCCCAACATTCCGTCTGTAATTCCGGCTGTTTCTCCCGACATTCCGGCTGTAATTCCGGCTGTTTCTCCCGACATTCCGGGTGTTTTTCCCTGGGATTCCCGCTGTAATTCCGGCTGTTTCTCCTGACATTCCCGCTGTAATTCTGGCTGTTTCTCCCGACATTCCCGCGGTAATTCTGGCTGTTTCTCCCGACATTCCCGTGGTAATTCCGGCTGTTTCTCCCTGGGATTCCCGCTGTAATTCCGGCTGTTTCTCCCGACATTCCGGCTGTAATTCCGGCTGTTTCTCCCGACATTCCGGGTGTTTTTCCCTGGGATTCCCGCTGTAATTCCGGCTGTTTCTCCTGACATTCCAGCTGTAATTCCGGCTGTTTCTCCCGACATTCCGGCTGTAATTCCGGCTGTTTCTCCCGACATTCCGGGTGTTTTTCCCTGGGATTCCGGCTGTAATTCCGGCTGTTTCCCCCCAGGGCACGACGGGGGCATGCTGGTGTTCAAGCTGGAGCGGGAGCGGCCGGCGCTGGCCGTGCACGGCAATTCTCTGTTCTACGTCAAGGATCGCTTCCTGCGGCAGCTCGACTTCGGCAGCTCCCGCGACGTGGCCGTGATGCAGCTGCGCAGGCACGGCCCGAGATCCGCCCCAAAATCCCCGAAACCCGCCCCGAAATCTGCCCCAAAATCCCTGAAACCTGCCCCGAAATCCGTCCCGAAATCCGCCCCAAAATCCCTGAAATCCGCTCTGAAATCCACCCTGAAACCCGCCCGAAATCCGCCCCGAAATCCCTGAAATCCCCAAAATCTGCCCCAAAATCCGCCCCAAAATCCCTGAAATCCACCCCAAAAACCACCCTAAAATCCACCCCGAAATCCCTGAAATCCGCCCCAAAATCCACCCCGAAATCCAGCCCGAAATCCCTGAAATCCACCCCGAAATCCGCCCCAAAATCCATCCCAAATCTGCCCCAAAATCCCTGAAATCCGCCCCAAAAACCATCCTAAAATCCACCCTGAAATCCATCCATCCCAAAATCCATCCATCCCAAAATCCACCCCGAAATCCGCCCCAAAAACCATCCTAAAATCCACCCTGAAATCCGCCCCAAAATCCATCCATCCCAAAATCCACCCCAAAATCTGTCCCAAAACCTGTCCCGAAAATCCCCAAAATCCATCCCAAACCAGCCCAGCATTCCCAAAATCCCCAAAATCCATCCCAAACAACCCCAGCATTCCCAAAATCCCCAAAATCCATCCCAAACCAGCCCAGCATTCCCAAAATCCCATTTTTTCCCTCTCCAGCGGCTCCAAGTTCCCGGTGTTCAGCATGAGCTACACAAACCAGCCCAGCATTCCCAAAATCCCATTTTTTCCCTCTCCAGCGGCTCCAAGTTCCCGGTGTTCAGCATGAGCTACAACCCAGCTGAGAATTCCGTGCTGCTCTGCACTGTGAGTCCCAAAATCCGGAGTTTTTTTGGGAAAAAATCCCCCAAATCCCTGACTCTGGGGGAAAACCTCCAATTCCACTTCATTCCTCTGAAAAATCCCTCTAATTCCACATTTTTGGGGGGAAAATTCCTCAAATCCCTGCTTTTCTTGGGGGAAAAATCCATCAAATCCCTGATTTTTTGGGAAAAAAAGAGTCCCTCAAATTCCTGATTTTTTGGGGAAAAATCCCTCAAATCCCTGATTTTTTTGGCGGGGGGAAAATCCCAATCCCTCAAATTCCACTTTTTTGGGGTGGGGAGGAAATCTCTCAACCCCCCCATTTTTTTAAATGGGAAAATCCCTCATATTCCTCTTTTTCCTGAGAAAAAAAAATCCCTTAAATTCCATTTTTTTGGGGGGAAAATCCCTTAAATTCCATGTTTTTTTTCAGGAAAACCCCTCAAATCCCTGATTTTTTTGGGGAAAACCCCTAAACTGCCCTGGTTTTATCCCACAGCGAGCCAGCAACCTGGAGAACAGCACCTACGACCTCTACACCATTCCCAAGGATGCAGATTCCCAAAATCCCGACGGTGGGTGTGGCCTGAGCTCCCAAAAATCCCAGGAATTCCCATCCCCATCCCCCCCTCCGTTTTTCCCTTCGTTTATCCCCAAAATCCCCTTTCTGAACCCCAAATTTTGGGTTTTTTTCACGGATTTTTTGGCAGCTTTCCCCTTTCCCCTTGAAAAATTCAAACTTTTCCAGCCCCCCATCCATATTTTATCAGGAATTCTCCTTTCCCTTCCCAAATTTTCCTCCCAGCTGGAGATTTCCTGGCTCTGTCCAAAGTTGATGGATCTCAGGCGGATTTTTGGGATGTTTCATCCACAAAAAAAACCCTTTTAAAATGACAATTCCAGGAATTATTTTGTTTTCCCTTTCTGGCAAATTCCAGATATTTTTCTTTCTTTTTTTTTTTTTTGTTTTGGGGAGGAATTTACGATTCCAAGCCTTGATTTAACGGGATGAAAACTCCCAAATTATTGGATTTTTGTCCTGGTTTTAAATCCCAGCTGCTCCCCCTGCCAGGGAGGAATGATGGATTTGGGGCCTTTTCCAGGGATTTATGGATTCCGGAGGGTTTGGAGCAGGGAATATTTCCCTGCTGGGGTGGATTTGGAGGCATAGAACGGGGAGGAAAAAAAAAAAAAACAAACCAATTTTTTTGGGAAGTTTTTCCAGCTGGGATATTGGGAAGATCAATCAAATCTGTGGATTTGATGGAGGAGCAGCTGGGTCCCAAAAAAAAAGAGGGAAAAGGGAAAATTCTGCTGCCAGAGGAGGGAGAAGGGCCCAGCCTCGGGAAGGGTTTGGGGCAAAACCCTCCAATCCTGAGTTTTTGGGAAAAATCCCTCAAATCCATGAATTTTCTGGGGGAAAAAATCCTTCAAATTCCGCTTTATTTTTTTGAAAAGTTTCTCAAGTCCCACAGTTTTGGGAGAAATCCCTCAAGTTCCACATTTTTGGGGGAAGCCCCTCGAGTTCCACATTTTGGGGATTTTCAGGGCCTTTTCTGGCTGAAAATTCCAGATTTTTGTGGAATATCAGAGGCTGGAGCAGCCTGGGATGGGTGGATTGTCCCATGGAATGGGAGGAGATTTGAGGTCCCTTCTGATCCCAAAAGTTCTGGGATTCTGGGATGTGAATCCAGGGGAAATCCAGATCCCATCCCAACCCCTGAACCCTATCCCATCAATCCCATTGATGCCATCCCAATCCCATTGACCCCATGGATCCCATCCCAATCCCATTGATCCCATAAATCCCATGGATCCCATCCCAATCCCTGAATCCCAATCCCATAAATCCCATGGATCCCTTATTCCCATCCCATCCTGTCCCATCAATCCCATAAATCTCATCCCAGCCCCATCCCAATTCCATCCTATAAATCCCATTTTATAAATCTCACCCCATCCCATCAATCCCATAAATCCCATCCCAATCCCATCCCATCAATCCCTTCCCAATCCCATCTTTTAAATCCCATCCCAATCCCATCCCATAAATCCCAATCCCATCCTTTAAATCCCATCCCAATCCTATCCCATAAATCCCAATCCTATTTTTTAAATCCCATCCCATAAATCCCAATCCCATCCTTTAAATCCCATCCCACAGATCCCATCCCAATTCCATCTTTTAAATCCCATCCCATCAATCCCATCCCATCAATCCCATCCCATAAATCCCAATCCCATCCTGTAATTCCTATCCCATCAATCCCATCCCGAGGGATGGATTCCCGGGTGGATCCCGGCCGGATTCGCGGGTTGATCCCGGTTTTTTTGGGGTCCCAGCTCCGGAGGGGAAGCGCTCCTCGGGGCTCACGGCCGTGTGGGTGGCGCGGAACCGATTCGCCGTCCTGGACAGGATGCACTCGGTGAGATCCCGGGAAAAAAAAATGGGAAAAATCGGGATAATGGGGGTCCAGGGGGGCTGATCCCAACGGGAAAAGGGTTGGGGAAATTGGGGTAACGGGGATTGGATCCAGGGAAGCCTGATCCCAAATGAAAAGGGTTGGGAAAAGAGGGAGATTGGGATAACGGGGATCAGATCCAGAGGGGCCTGATCCCAAAAATAAAAGGGTTGGGAAAACCAGGAATGGGGCTGGAGGAGCTGGAAAAGGGAATGGAGGATCCTGAGGGGGCATTCCCGCCATTCCCGCCGTTCCCTCATCCGGCCGTTCCCGCCATTCCCGCCGTTCCAGCCATCCTGATCTGTAACCGGAAGCTGGAGTCGCTGTGCCAGATCCACGAGAACATCCGGGTGAAGAGCGGCGCCTGGGACGAGAGCGGCGTCTTCATCTACACCACCAGCAACCACATCAAATACGCCGTCACCTCGGGGTCAGCCCTGCTCCGGGATGGCTGGAGTTCCTGGGATGGCCGGGAATGCCCTGGGATGGCTGGAATCCCTGGGATGGCCGGGAATGCCCTGGGATGGCTGGGAATCACTGGGATGGCCGGGAATCCCTGGGATGGCGGGAATGCCCTGGGATGGCCAGAGTTCCCTGGGATGGCTGGAATTCCTGGGATGGCCGGGAATTCCCTGGGATGGCCGGGAATCCCTGAGATGGCCGGGAATCCCTGAGATGGCGGGAATGCCCTGGGATAGCTGGAATTCCCTGGGATGGCCAGAGTTCCCTGGGATGGCCGGAGTTCCCTGGGATGGCGGGAATTCCCTGGGATGGTCAGGAATTCCCTGGGATGGCCGGGAATTGTCACTGGCATGGCTGGGAATTCCTTGGAATGGCTTTTGAGTTCCCTGGGGTGGTCTGGAATTCCTTGGGATGGCCGGGAGTTCCCTGGGATGGCCAGGAGTTCCCTAGGATGGTCAGGAATTCCTTGGGATAGGCAGGAGTTCCCGGGATGGTCAGTCCCTGGGATGGTCACTCCCTGGGATGGCTGAGAGTTGCCCGGAATGGCTGGAAGTTCCCTGGAACAGCCAGGAATTCTCACCAGGAATGTTGCCCTGGAACTCCCTGGGGTGGTTGGGAATTCTCACCGGGAATATCTCCCTGGAACTTCCTGGGAATTCTCACGGCGAATTCTCACTGGGAATTCTTACTGGGAGCGTCCCCCCGGAGCTCCCTGGGATGGCTGGGAATTCCCACCGGGAATGTCCCCCGGGACGGCCGGGAGTTCTCACCGGGAATTCTCGCCGGGAATGTCGCCCGGCACAGGGATCACGGGATCATCCGCACGCTGGACCTGCCCATCTACGTGACGCGGGTGAAGGGCAACAACGTCTACTGCCTGGACCGGGAGTGCCGGCCCCGCGTGCTCACCATCGACCCCACCGAGTTCCGCTTCAAACTGGCCCTCATCAACAGGAAGTACGACGAGGTCAGGAAATCTGGGAATGGAGAAACGTGGGGAAAAACGGGGTTGGGAATGGGGGAAAGCGGGGTTGGGAATGGTGGATCAAGATCGGGAGTGCCGGCCCCGCGTGCTCAGCATTGACTCCACCGAGTTCCGCTTCAAACTGGCTCTCATCAACAGGAAGTACGATGAGGTCAGGAAATCTGGGAATGGAGAAACGTGGGAAAAAATGGGGTTGGGAATGGGGGAAAATGGGATTGGGAATGGTGGAGAAATGGGGTTGGGAATGGGGGAAAGCGGGGTTGGGAATGGTGGATCAAGATCGGGAGTGCCGGCCCCGCGTGCTCAGCATCAACTCCACCGAGTTCCGCTTCAAAGTGGTTCTCATCAACAGGAAGTACGACGAGGTCAGGAAATCTGGGAATGGAGGGAAATAGAAAAGCCTTTCCCGAGGATTCTGGGTTTGGGAATAGGGGCTGGAGCATTTGGGAATAGGGGCTGGAAAGGCCTTTCCTGAGGGATTTTGGGAAAAGCCTTTCCCGAGGGGTTTTGGGAAGATCCTTTCCCGAGGATAGGAAAAGCCTTTCCCAGGGATGGAAGATCCTTTCCCAAGGGATTTTGGGAAAGCCTTTCCCGAGGGATTTTGGGGAGAGCCTTTCCCAGGGATTTTGGGAAGAGCCTTTCCTGAGGGATTTGGGAAGAGCCTTTCCCAGGGATTTTGGGGAGAGCCTTTCCCAGGGATTTTGGGCCGCCCCGCAGGTGCTGCACATGGTGCGGAACGCCAAGCTGGTGGGGCAGTCGATCATCGCGTACCTGCAGCGCAAGGGGTACCCCGAGGTGGCCCTGCACTTCGTCAAGGACGAGAAAACGCGCTTCAGCCTGGCCCTGGAGTGCGGCAACATCGAGGTGACGCCGGCTTTCGGGGCGTTTTGGGGCGTTTCGGGGCGTTTTGGGGAAAACGTGCTTCAGCCTGGCCCTGGAGCGTGGCAGCTCTGAGGTGACGCGGGCAGAGGGCTGCCTCAGCAGATTCTGGGGGATTTGGGGATGTTTTGGGACATTTCTGGCCGTTCTGAGGTGTTTTGGGGTGTCCTGGGGAGTTGGGTTTTGGGTGTTTTGGGATCTTTTTGGGACATTCCCTGGCACAGATTGCCCTGGAAGCAGCCAAGGTGCTGGGTGACAGAGGCTCTCAGGGGAGGTGGTTCTGCCTCCATCCCTGCTCCCATTCCCCATTTCTAACCCCATTCCTGATCCCTCTGACCCCATTCCCGATCCCTCTGACCCCATTCCCGATCCCTCTGACCCCCTTCCCGATCCCTCTAACCCCGGAATTCCCTGGGAGCAGATTGCCCTGGAGGCAGCCAAGGCCCTGGACGACAAGGGCTGCTGGGAGAAGCTGGGCGAGGTGGCTCTGCCTCCCTCCCTGCTCCCATTCCCCATTTCTAGCCCCATTCCTGATCCCTCTGACCCCATTCCCGATCCCTCTAACCCCGGAATTCCCTGGGAGCAGATCGCCCTGGAGGCAGCCAAGGCCCTGGACGACAAGGGCTGCTGGGAGAAGCTGGGCGAGGTGGCTCTGCCTCCATCCCTGCTCCCATTCCCCATTCCCGATCCCTCTAACCCCGGAATTCCCTGGGAGCAGATCGCCCTGGAGGCAGCCAAGGCCCTGGACGACAAGGGCTGCTGGGAGAAGCTGGGCGAGGTGGCTCTGCTGCAGGGCAACCACCAGGTGGTGGAGATGTGCTACCAGCGCACCAAGAACTTCGACCGCCTCTCCTTCCTCTACCTCATCACCGGCAACCTGGAGAAGCTCCGCAAGATGATGAAGATCGGTGAGTGCCGGCGTTCCCGGCGGGAACGGGGCAGGCCGGGAACGGCGGCTGATTCCCGGTTTTCCCCCGGTGCAGCGGAGATCCGGAAGGACATGAGCGGGCACTACCAGAACGCGCTGTACCTGGGGGACGTGGCCGAGAGGGTGCGGATCCTGCGGAACTGCGGCCAGAGTGAGTCATTCCCAAAGGGAATTCCGAGGGCTCGGGGCACTGGGAGTCATTCCCTACAGGAATTCCGAGGGTTTGGGGCACAGGGAGTCATTCCCAAAGGGAATTCCAGGCATGGGGAGTTGTTCCAAGCAGAATTCTGGGCACGGGGAGTCCTTCCCTACAGGAATTCTGGGAGTTCTGGGCATGGGCAGTCATTCCTAAAGGGAATTCTGAGCACAGGGAGTTCTTCCCAATGGAATTCTGGGATTTCTGGGCATAGGGAGTCCTTCCTGATGGGAATTCCGGGCACAAGGAGTCGTTCCCAATGGGAATTCTGCCCTGGGAGTTCAGGAAAGGCTCTTGGATCCTCAAGCACTTCCATTATTCCAGTGGTTATTCCCATTATTCCAATGGCTATTCCCAGTATTTCCCATTATTCCCGTGGTCATTCCTGTTACTCCAATGGCTGTTCCCACTATTTCCATCATTCCAGTGGCTGTTCCCAGTATTTTCCATTATTCCCGTGGTCATTCCCAGTATTTCCCATTATTTCCGTGGTCATTCCTGTTATTCCAATGGTTATTCCCAGTGTTTCCCGCTATTCCCATGGCCATTCCCGTTTTTCCAGAATCCCTGGCGTTCCTGACAGCCGCCACGCACGGGCTGGACGAGGAGGCCGAGAGCCTGCGGGAATCCTTCGATCCCGAGAAGGAGACGGTGGGAATGCCGGGAAAACGCCGGGAATTTGGGAAGGGAGGGAGGGGATGGGCATGGGAGAAATCCTGGGAAGCTCCTGGAATTTGGGATGGGAGGAAGACGCCTGGAATTTGGGAAGGAGGGAATGGTGGGGATGGAGGAAATCCTGGGAAACTCCTGGAATTTGGGAACAGTGGGATCCGTGGGGAGAACTGGAAAACTCCTGGAATTCAGGAAGGAGGGGATGGGGGCTCCTGGGAAACTCCTGGAATTTGGGAACAGTGGATTCCACTGGGGAGAACTCCTGGAAAACTGGAATTCAGGAAGGAGGGGATGGGGGCTCCTGGAAAACTCCAGGAATTCAAGAAGGGAACAGTGGGATCCAGCGGGGAGAACTCCTGGAATTCAGGAAGGAGGGGATGGGGGCTCCTGGAAAACTCCTGGAATTTGAGAAGGAGGGGATAGGGGCTCCTGGGAAGCTCCTGGAATTTGGGAAGGGACCAGTGGGATGCAGTACGGAGAACTGGAAAACTCCTGGAATTCAGGAAGGAGGGGATGGGGGCTCCTGGAAAGCTCCAGGAATTCGGGAAGGGAACAGTGGGATGCAGCAGGGAGAGCTCCTGGAAAGCCCCAGGAATCCGGGAAAGGCAGCTCTTTCCCGGGATCCCGAGGAGCGGGATTTTCCTGGCGCATGCCGACGTTTTCCCGGCGTGTCCCAGATCCCGGCCGTGGATCCCGAGGCGCGGCTGCTGCAGCCGCCGGCGCCGGTGCTGCCCCTGGACACCAACTGGCCCCTGCTGACCGTGTCCAAGGGCTTCTTCGAGGGCTCCATCGCCGGGAAAGGTCAGCACATCCCGGGATCTGGGCACCCGGAATGGGCTGGGAACCGGGCAGAAAAGGCCTGGAAGGCTGGGGGAGGAGGTGGGGCCAGGGGGCTGGGAATGGGATCAGGACTGGGATTGAGCCCTGGGAATGGGATCAGGACTGGGATTGACCGCTGGGAATGGGATTGAGCCCTGGGAATGGGATCAGGACTGGGATTGATCCCTGGGAATGGGATTGAGCCCTGGGAATGGGATCAGGACTGGGGTTGATCCCTGGGAATGGGATTGAGCCCTGGGAATGGGATCAGGACTGGGATTGAGCCCTGGGAATGGGATCAGGACTGGGATTGACCGCTGGGAATGGGATTGAGCCCTGGGTTTGGTGGGATCAGGTCTGGGATTGATCCCTGGGAATGGGATTGAGCCCTGGGAATGGGATCAGGACTGGGATTGACCCCTGGGAATGGGATCAGGACTGGGATTGACCTGGGAATGGCCAGAGTCGTGTCCAGGTGTGGGAAGTCATGGAATGAGCAGCTGGAAAAGGGAATTCCTGGCACAGGGAGAGTCCTGAAGGAGCTGGGGGGGCTCAGCCTGGAGAAAAGGGGGATCCAGGGGGAATTTGGGATCTTCCAGGGGGTTTTGGGATCTGATCTCAGGGAATGGGCCAGGACAAGAGGGAACAACCTCGAGCTGTGCCAGGGCTGGAAATCTGGGATGGTTTTTCCATGGAAAAAGGGTTGGGAAGCATTGGAAGGGGCTGAGGGAGGGTTGGATCCCCATCCCTGGAGGAGTCTGAGGAATCCCTGGAATTCTGGGGATGAAGCCCATGACCCTGGAGCTCTCCCCCACCCTCATAAATCCCAAAATTCTGCAAAATCCCACCCCGAGATGCAGGGTGGGGTTTTTCCCTCATGGAATTCTTTCCTGAGGGTCATTCCCTGTTTTTTTTTTTTAGGGAAAGGAGGAGCCCTGGCTGCTGACATCGACATGGACGCCGTGGGCACCGAGGGCTGGGGCGAGGACGCCGAGCTGCAGCTGGATGAAGGTGGGAAAATCCCGGAATTTTCCATGGGAAAACTGCATTGCCCCGTGCCCGTGGGATCCCTCTGACATTCCCTGCTCCCTGCAGACGGATTTGTGGATGCTGGGGAAGGATTCGGAGAGGAAGGAACGGGAAAAGGCCAGGAGGAAGGAGGAGGATGGGAGGTGGAAGAAGATTTGGATCTTCCCCCGGAGCTGGTAGGAGAATCCTGGGGCATCCCAGTGCCAGTTCCTTGGGAATTCGGGAAGCAGGGAGTGTTCTGTGGGATCATCCAGCTCGGATTTCAGCTGGAATTCTGGGATTTTCCCTCAGGATGTCCCCGCCGGCCCCGCAGGAACGGCTGAGGACGGATTCTTCGTGCCCCCCACCAAAGGCACCAGCCCAGCCCAGGTAAAATCCTGGATTTCCTCGGAAAACCGGGAATTTCCTCCTTTTCCCTTCATTTTTTGGGATTTCTGAGCCCATTGTGGGAACTCTGCCATCCCAATCCCACCTGGATTCCCTTCCCTCTTTCCCAGGTGTGGTGCAACAATTCCCAGCTCCCCGTGGATCACATCCTGGCAGGATCCTTTGAGACAGCCATGAGGGTGAGTTTTCCATGGAATTTTTAATGGAAAAACGCCTCCTTTCCCCCTTACTTTGCCTGCTCCACCCCAAATCCTCACTTTGCTTCCGTCTGGGAATATTCCATCCCCATTTTCCTGTGGATGCGAGCCAGAGCGAGGTCTCGGCGCTGCCTGATCCGGGTTTTCCCGACCCAATCCATGATTTTTTTTCGCCCTCAGCTGCTCCATGACCAGGTGGGAGTGACCAACTTCGGGCCCTACAAGCAGCTCTTCCTGCAGACCTTCTCCCGGGGCCGGACGACGTTCCAGGCGCTTCCCAGCCTCCCCGCCATGTACGGATACCCGCACCGCAACTGGTGAGCACTGGGACGCGCCTCTCCCACCTTCCCGGGGTTTTCCAGGCTCTTCCTGGGGAGAAATCCCGGATTTACGGGGGGTGAATGAGGTCAGCCAGTCTGAGCTTGGAGGCTCAGAATCCCAGGAATTCCTTGGGCAGCTCCAGGGATGGGGAGGAGGCGGAATTCCCGGTTTGTGGGGAGAGTGGGAATTGTGGGGGGCAGAGATGGGTTTGGGGCTGAGCTCAGGGCAAAATCCAGGGAATGGCCAGGGCTGGATCCTCATGGAATGAGGGGCTGGGAAGTGTCCAGGGAATGGAGCTGGAGCAGCTGGAAAAGGGAATGGAGAATCCTGAGGGAGCTGGGGGCGGGGGCTCAGCGTGGAGAAAAGGGGAATCCAGGGGGAATTTGGGATCTGATCCCAGGGAACAGGGACGGAATGAGAGGGAACTCCTCAAGTTGCACCAGGAAAGGTTTAGGTTGGATATTTGGGGGAATTTTTCCATGGCAAAGCGTTGGGAACCATTGCACGGGCCTCAGGAAGGTGCATTCCCATCCCTGGAGGGAATTCCCAGGAATCCCTGGAATTCCACCCCACCCTCACCGGGCCCGCATCCCTAAATCCGGAATTTCCGGGGTGCCAGGAAAGAGGCCGGGCTGAAGACCGCGCTGCCGGCCGTGGGGCTGAAGCTGAACGACCTGATCCAGCGGCTGCAGCTCTGCTACCAGCTGACCACGGCCGGCAAGTTCGAGGAGGCCGTGGAGAAATTCCGGCTGATCCTGCTCAGCGTGCCCCTGCTGGTGGTGGACAACAAGCAGGAGATCGCCGAGGTCAGGGGGGCATCATCCCGGTGGGATCCCTGAGGGGGGAATGTGGGAATCCTGCCCTGAAAAACGCGGGATTCCTGAGGGGGGAATGTGGGAATCCCTGAGGGGGAAAATGTGGGAATTCCTGAGGGGGAAATGTGGGAATTTCTGAGGGGGAAAATGTGGGAATCCTGCCCTGAAAAACGCGGGATTCCTGAGGGGGAAATGTGGGAATGCCTGAGGGGGGAAATGTGGGATTCCTCAGCGGGAAATGTGGGATTCCTGAGGGGGGAATGTGGGAATCCCTGAGGGGGAAAATGTGGGAATTCCTGAGGGGGAAATGTGGGAATTTCTGAGGGGGGAAATGTGGGATTTCTGAGGGGTGAAACATGGAATTCATGAGGGGGGGAAATGTGGGATTGCTGAGGGGGAAATGTGGGATTCCTGAGGGGGAAAATATGGGAATTCTGCTCTGAAAAACATGGGATTGCTGAGGGGGAAATGTGGGATTCCTGAGGTGGGAAATGTGGGAATTCATGAGGGGGAAAGTGTGGGAATCCTGAGGGGGGAAATACGGGATTCCTGACCTGGAAAACATCGAATTCCTGAGGGGGGAAATGTGGGTTTCATGAGGGGGGAAGTGGGTGAATGTCTGAGGGGGAAATGTGGGATTTCTGAGGGGAAAAGGTGGGAACTTCTGAGGGGAAAAGGTGGGAATTTATGAGGGGAAATGTGGGAATCCTGCCTTGGAAAACACAGATTTCCTGAGGGGGAAAATGTGAGAATTCATGAGGGGAAAAATGTGGGATTCATGAGGGGAAAAATGTGGGATTCCTGAGGGGAGAAATGTGGGAATTTCTGGGGAGGATACTGTGGGATTCCTGACGGGGGAAACGTGGGATTCCCGATCCCGGGGTGTCCCCAGGGAAGGGTTTGATCCCCGGTTTTGTCCCACAGGCGCAGCAGCTGGTCGCCATATGCCGGGAATACATCGTGGGGTTGTCCATGGAGATCGAGAGGAAGAAGCTGCCCAAGGAGACGCTGGAGCAACAGAAAAGGATCTGTGAGGTGAGGGATGCCTGAGGGGAAAAACAAGGAATTCCTGAGGGGAAAACATGGGATTCCTGAGGGGGGAAGTGCAGGATTCCTGAGGGGGTAAATGAGGGAATTTCTGAGGGGGATAACACGGAATTCCTGAGGGGCAAATGTGGGAATTTCTGAGGGGGATAACACGGAATTCCTGAGGGGCAAATGTGGGAATTTCTCAAGGGGAAAACATGGAATTCCTGAGGAGGGAAATTTAGGAATTCCTGAGGGAGGAAATGAGGGAATTACTGAGGGGAAAACCACAGAATTTCTGACTAGGAGATGTGGGATGTCTGAGGGGGAAATGTGGGATTTCTGAGGGGTAAAATGTGGGAATTTCTGAGGGGAAAAAGACAGAATTCCTGGGCGGGGGGAAATGTGGGGATTTCTGAGGGGAAAAACAAGGAATTCCTGAGGGGGAAATGTAAGATTCCTGAGGTGGTATCAAAACCTCACTGGAAATTTGGAATTCTGCCTTCAACGCAAACACAACAGGGAAAAGAGGGATTCCCTGTCACAATTCCCGTTATTCCCAAGGACTTTAACCCCTGCTTTCCCTGGCAGATGGCCGCCTACTTCACGCACTCCAACCTGCAGCCCGTGCACATGATCCTGGTGCTCCGCACCGCCCTCAACCTCTTCTTCAAGCTCAAGAACTTCAAAAGCGCCGCCACCTTCGCCCGGCGCCTGCTCGAGCTCGGCCCCAAGCCTGAGGTGGCTCAGCAGGTGAGACCCCAAATGGCCCTGTCCCCAAATGTCCCCAATGGCCCTGTCCCCAAACTCAAGGTGAGGTCCTCAGGTGAGGCCTCAAGTTGGGAAACAAAGTTTTTGGGGGGTCCTTGTGCCCAAACCCCCACTGTGACCCTTTTTGGGGCGTCCTTGTCCCCAAACCTGAGCTGAGGCCCTCAGGTGTGGAACCCTTCCTGTGACACCGTTTTTGGGGTGTCCTTGTCCCCAAACCTCCACCGTGTCACTGTTTTTGGGGTGTCCCTGTCCCCAAACCCCCACTGTGACCCTTTTTTGGGGTGTCCCTGTCCCCAAACCCCCACTGTGACCCTTTTTGGGGTGTCCCTGTCCCCAAACCCCCACTGTGACCCTTTTTTGGGGTGTCCCTGTCCCCAAACCCCCACTGTGACCCTTTTTTGGGGTGTCCTTGTCCCCAAACCCCCACTGTGACCCTTTTTGGGGTGACCCTTACCCCAAACCCCCACTGTGACCCTTTTTGGGTTGTCCTTGTCCCCAAACCCCCACTGTGACCCTTTTTGGGGCACCCCCGTTCCCCGTGCTCACGGCGGTGCCGTCCCCAGACGCGGAAGATCCTGGCGGCGTGCGAGAAGAACCCCATCGACAGCCACCAGCTGAACTACGACCAGCACAACCCCTTCGACATCTGCGCCGCCTCCTACCGCCCCATCTACCGCGGCAAAGCCGTGGAGAAGTGTCCCCTCAGCGGGGCCTGCTACAGCCCCGAGTTCCGGGGACAGATCTGCCGCGTCACCACGGTGAGGGGACGCCGCTCGTCCCGCTGAGCTGTGGGCTGGCAGAAATCGGGGCTGGGAGGTGGTTTGAGGGGTCAGTGCTGTCCTTTGGGCGGACATTTTGTGGTTCCGGAGGGGGTTTGGGGTCTGTCCCGCAAGGGAGGCCTGTGGGAGTTGGGCCGGGTTGGTCTGGAGGAGGTTGAGGGCGAAACTTAATCTATCTGTAGAAATATCTCAAATATCCATGGAAATATCTTCAATATCCATGGATATATCTCCAACGTCCCCAAAAATGTCTCCTCTGAGAGGGGATTTGGGCTCTGGAGTGTTTTTCCCACAAAGAAGGCCTGTGGGAGTTGGGCCTGGTTGGTCTGGAGGAGGCTGAGGGGGAAACTTATCCATCCATGGAAATATGTTCAATATCCATGGAAATATCTTCAATATCCATGGAAATATCTCCAATATTTGTGGAAATATCTTCAATATCCATTGATATATCTCCAACATCCCCAAAAATCTCTCCTCTGAGAGGGGATTTGGGCTCTGGAGTGTTTTTCCCACAAAGAAGGCCTGTGGGAGTTGGGCCTGGTTGGTCTGGAGGAGGCTGAGGGGGAATCTTATCCATCTGAAGACATATCTCAAATATCCATGGAAATATCTCAAATATCCCCTCAAATCCCTCAAATTTCCACACAAATCCCTCAAATTCTCACCCAAATCCCCCTAAGGGATCTCAGGACACTCCCAGACCCTTCCCAGTGCTCACAGCACAGGCCCAGGAGTGACAGCCACAAACCCAACCCCTAAATCCCGAACTTTCACCCCTAAATCCCGAATTTTCACCCCTAAATCCTCTCTTTGTCCCTGCAGGTGACGGAGATTGGGAAGGACGTGCTGGGGCTGCGCATCAGCCCCCTCCAGTTCCGCTAGGAATTCTCCTGGATAAGGAAATTCCCACTCCCCCCTCCCAGCTTTCCCCCCACTCCCTCCCCTTGGCCATTCCCATCCTCTCTTCCCGGTTTTTCCTCGCCGTGGAATTCCGGATTGAGATTTTTTCCCACGTTTAGGAGGATTTTTTTTCCTTGTTCCCAGAGCAGTTTTTCTGTGCTTTTATCCCAAATTTTTTCCAGAGGGGGAAGGGAGGCTCTTCCCAAATCCTGGTTGGGACACAACCTCCTCTGCTCCCCTTAAAATCCTAAAAAATTTCTTGGAAAACCCGGGATTGGCTCTGTAAATCCCGAATCCAGGGAAATCCTGCTCCCTCTGGAAGTGGCTCTGTGTTCGTTGACGCCTTCTGTTGTCGTCATGGCAACTTAATGAGCTCCCCTCGTTAATAAAGTTCATTAATCACCTGGATTTCCCTGGTTTGCAGCTCCGGACACGCCAAAAAAAAAAAAAAAATTGGAATTTAATCCCTTTTCCCACCTCTGCTTGGAGAGCTGGGAATTTTCCAGAGGATGGGATGGGCGCTCCTGGGATGATTTGGAGCTGGGTGTGTTAATTAGCGGGGTGTAATTAACGCCCCAATTAGCCCTAAGGGCTTGTCCTGCATTTCCAGGTGGAGTTTTGTCCTTTGTCACTCCCGGCTTTGGCCCCAGGGCACGAAAAAGGCTCCGGGATTCCCAAATTTGGGTGGATTCCGATCCCTGCAGGGGAGAGGGGTGGGAATAACAACGGGGGAGGATGCAGGGATGCAATTCCAGGGCTTGTCCTGCTGGGAATGTCCAGGGCATGGAAGGAGGGGATGGAAGTGTCCAGGGAACGGGGCTGGAGCTGCTGGAAAAGGGAACGGAGGATCCCGAGGGGGCTCAGCCTGGAGAAAAGGGGGATTTGGGATCTGCCAGGGGGGATTTGGGATCTGATCCCAGGGAACGGGACAGGACAAGAGGGAATGCCCTCGAGCTGTGCCAGGGCTGGAAATCTGGGATGGTTTTTCCATGGAAAAAGGGTTGGGAAGCACCGGAAGGGGCTGAGGGAGGGTTGGATCCCCACTCCTGGAGGAAATCCCTGGAATTCCGAGCAGATGAGCAGGTGAGGATCACTTTGGGATTCTTCCCCCCACCTCGCTGATCCCGGAGTCCCTCGGGGTCTTCAACCTTTTATTTATCCATAAAAAAGCAGGGGCAAAAAAGGGAATGCGAGCGTTGCCTCACTTCCAGCATTCCATGGGGCGTTCCGGGGGGCTCTGGGGTGGAGCCAGAGCCTCTGGATTTAGGGCTTGGGGGATTTGAGGACCAGGGAGTCGTGGCAGGCCACGGCGATGCCCCCGATGAGGTTCAGGAACTCCTGGAAATCCAGCTGCCCGTCGCTGTTCATGTCCAGCTTCTTCATCATCCTGTCCACCACGCCCGGGTCCTTCTGGTTCTGGGGGGAAAAAAACGGGAATTGGTGCCTGGAATGAGGGGGAATTCCCTGCCCAGGCAGGGAGGGGAGCTCAGGGAATCCGGGAATGGTTTGGGATGGAAAATCCTTGAACAGCCACGTTCAGTGATGGTCCCGCAATCCCATCCCGCTCCAGACCCCATCCCGGCACATCCCCAGGGCTGGGACCCCCTGGATCATCCCATCAATCCCATCGATCCCACCCCATCCCATCAATCCCATCCCATCCCATTGATCCCATCCCATCGATCCCACCCCATCCCATCAATCCCATCCCATCGATCCCATCCCATCCCATCAATCCCACCCCATGGATCCCCTCCCATGGATCCCATCCCATTGATCCGATCACAGCCCATTGATCCCATCCCAGCTGATTGATCCCATTGTTCCCATTGATCCTGTCTCACTGATCCCGTCCCAATCCCATGGATCCCATCCCATCTCAATCCCATTGATCCCATCCTTTCCCATGGATCCCATCCCCTTCCATTGATCCCATCCCAATCCCATGGATCCCACTGATCCCATCCCCACCCCATTCCATGGATCCCATTGAGCCTATGCCATCCCACTGATCTCATGGATCCCATCCCATTCCATGGATCCCATTGATCCAATCCCAGCCCATGGATCCCATGGATTGCATTGATCCCACGGATCCCATCCCCGTACCAATCCCATGGATCCCACCCCATTCCATGGATCCCATTGATCCGATCCCATCTCATGGATCCCATCCCATCCCAATCCTGTGGATTGCATTGATCCCATGGATCGCACTGATCCCATGGATCCCATCCCATCCCAAGGATCCCACTGGTCCTATCCCCACCCCATTCCATGGATCCCGTTGATCCTATCCCATCCCATGGATCCCATCCCATCCCAAGGATCCCACTGGTCCTATCCCCACCCCATTCCATGGATCCCATGGATCCCAGCCCATCGATCCCATGGATCCCATCCCCTCACTCCCATCCCGTGGATCCCACGACCGCCCGTTCCCGGACCTTGGTGAAGGCGGCCAGCTCGGTGTCCATGAAGGCGCGGAATTCCCGCTTGGAGAGGGTGCAGGCGTCGCCCTCGCGGCCGGCGTAGCGCTGGAACACGGCCAGCAGCGACTCGATGCAGCGCTCCGTCTCCGTGGGCTGGGAGCACAAATCCCGGGATTTGGGGTCGGGGGGGGGGGCTGGGGAACCCCCTCTGCCCGCCCCAGGTGTGCCGGGGCCAATCCCGGATTTTCTGGGAGCAGGGAGAGGCCCCCTGTGCCCGCCCATTCCAGGAGCAATCCGGTTTTTTTGGGATGAGGGAAGGGCTGGAGGAGCCTCCTGTGCCCATTCCAGGTGTGCCAGGGGCAATCCCGGATTTTTTGGATGAGGGAAGGGCTGGAGGAGCCTCCTCTGCTCATTCCAGGAGTGACTCCAGGTTTTTTGGGATGAGGGAAGGGCTGGAGGAGCCTCCTCTGCCCATTCCTGGAGCAATTCCAGGTTTTCTGGGGAGCAGGGAAAGGCCTTCTCTACCCATTCCAGGAGCAATCCCAGTTTTTCTGGGATGAGGGAAGGGCTGGAGGAACCTCCTCTGCCCATGCCTGGAGCAATTCCAGGTTTTTTGGGAGCAGGGAAAGGCCCTCTCTACCCATTCCAGGAGCAATCCCAGTTTTTTGGGGATGAGGGAAGGGCTGGAGGAGCCTCCTCTGCCCATTCCAGGTGTGCCAAGGAGCAACCCCGAATTTTTTGGGAGCAGGGAAGCACCTCCTGTGCCCATCCCAGCTTTTCCAAGAGCAATCCCGGTTTTCTCGGGATGCGGGAAGGGCCCAGCCGGACCCGTTCCGCCGCATTTTTCCCTGGATTTCGCTCCCTGGCGCAGCGGGACGGGCCCGGAGCGGGAGCGGCTCCTGGAAAATGCCCGGGGGAGGTGGCGGATCCGGCGGGGCGGTGGCAAGGGCCGGGTTCGGCTCAGGCGGATTTTTTTGGGAGATAATCCCGTTCTTTCCCTGTTTCCCCCATTTCTCCCCACCCCACCCCGGGTTTTCCCTGTTTTTCACCCATTTTCCCCGTTTTTTCCCTGTTTTCCCCCGGTTTTTTTTCCTGGTTTTCCCAGTTTTTTTGCCATTTTCCTCCCGGTTTCTGCCCTGCTTTTCCCCCGTTTTCCCCCCATTTTCCGCCCGTTTTTTACCTGCCACCCC